AGTCCCCAAACGGCGCTCAGCATTGTGGCCAACGATCTGGCGGCGAAGGCGTGTCTGGAAAATGCGAAACTATTGCCGCCCGCCGAAACGGGGGCCCACTATGCCGATGCCCTCATCGATCAGGCCAACCTAATGGCACTGAAGCATGGCCGGAACAGGGCCCAGGAACACGGTCCGACGCTAGTGATCATGGATGAGCCGGTGAGAGAGAGAGAATTATATAATCCCCCTAGCACCGATGTGGCGTCCGCCCGATGTGCATATGTGATTTGCTTCGTGGGTTCTGCTTGTGCTTGCTTGTGTGCGCGCGCGGGGGCAGTGAAAGTACAGTCTGCCTGGGCCGCGGCTGCGGGCATGTGTCGCTTAATCCGCGTCTTGGTTGGTGGGTGGTGGGGTCACGTGTGGCGTCTCCTATAGCAACATTTCCATTGGAATTATTTCCCCGGATCGTATAATTTCTATCATGATGGAGAGTCGGATTTTTAGTGGGAATATCTTTAGGTCCAATTGGAATGCTTCGTTTCGTTTATGTTTTGCCTGGAACGCCTACAATCAGCACGAAGAAGCAGAAATATCAAGTGTTTCTTTTTCGATAATTTTATTTTATTTTTTATTTATGATTTGTATATTGATAGAAATTTTATTAAATTATAGTTAATTTTAATGTGTTAGCAGCTGTTAAACATTAACTGCTGTTAACAGCAAAATGATAGCACGCCGCTGTGAATGGTTATTCCTTTACATGGCACTGTAAGCAGTCAGCCGTTATGTTATGTTATGCCTGAAAATTTAACAGTTCTTTGGATTACATTTATTTTAAATCGTTTTTTGAATGAAATATATTTAAATTTAATAGCTGTTAAAGGTAGATTTTAGGCGTTATATTCTACATTTGATTTTCTTTGGGTTATTTTTCTTTTAAATTTAAGATATTTTATGAGATTTTTAAACAATTTGAAGGTTTTTTAATTTGTTTAGATCTTTCTAAGAAATACGCTCTGATCTGAACGTTTTAAGATACGGACATGATTCCAACGACTAATCTCTTACCCCTATCCTATCCCCTTTCGCAGTTCAAAGTACCCGATGTCCCCAACGAGGTAAAGAAGGCCATACAGAAGCGCAAGGAGAACGAGGGCATCGATGCCAAGCTCAACAAGAAGCGACACATGCAACAGCAGCAGCAGCAGCAGCAGCACGAAAAGCTGGATCATCAACTTCACCACCAGCAACATATGCACGTGCTGGGCCAGCTACCCGGACATCAGGCTGGCGCACAGGAGGACGGCGAGATGATGCCAGTGGAGCCGCGACCCAGTCCGAGGACGCAGCAGCAGCGCTTCTTCTACCAGCAGCAGCAGAAGCACAAGCAACGGCTGGCCAGCAAGCGCAATCTGGCAAACAGCTTGGGTCCCTATCCCGGTGCCGTAGCGGCGGGTAGGGCGGCAGCAGCGTCAGCTGCCACAGACTCTGCGAAGCGAGTGGCAGCACCGGCCAAAAGCGGACGACGGGCACAGAAGCAATTGCAGCAGCAGCAACAACAGAAGATGCAGCAACAGCAGCAGCAAAAAGTATTATTGCCCGTACCGGAGGCGGCGGGCAATCATTTGGTGGTGCAATCACATGTGGAATACATCCTGGACGAGGCACTCAAGTCGGTATGTGCCACCACAGCGACGCCAGCGCCCGCACCCGCACCCACACCAATGCCATCCCCATCGCCCACCGTTATGGTGTCGCCACCCACGGGCTTTATGAACAAACTGAAGCCAGCCACGAGAGTCGTGTATGGCCCGACAACAGGAGCAGCAGAGATGGGTTCGCCCACAACGCCCGGTGCCCCCAGTCGGGTCTTTGCCAACTCGCCGATTGTCTTTAAAGAGAAACTGCAGCCGAGCGTGGTGCCCGTCCAGGTGCAGGTGCAGAGCCACACGCCTGTCAAGAAGTTCATTATGGAGGAAAGGCAGCCGGACACCACACCAGCGGTGCCCACATTACCCGTTACGCCCACTATACCCATGCCCATCTCGACGGCCAATCTTCCACTAGCTCCGCAAATCATCAGTGTCCAGCAGATACCGGCCCCGCCCATGGGGGCCAAGCTACGACCTGCTCTGGGGCTGCTGAATCCAACAGGCAGCAGCACCACCACCACCACCATTCTCCCACCCGGCACCAAGCTGACGCCGAAGAAGATCAATTTCCTTGACGGCACACCGCTCGATGTCAAGCCCAAGACCTTGCCCAGTTCGGCGGTGCGACTACTGCCCTACACGACGGATACGACGGCCACAGCCGTTGCCACCCCGTCCTCGCCGCAGGCCATGTCCAGCAATCTCAAGGAGCAGCCGCGGGGTACAGTCACGCCTCTCAGCAGCGCCTCCACGGTGAATATCATCAAGAATATACCGGCCAGCAGCTTGAACAATACACTTATTACGCCTCTGGCGACGTCTACGGCAACGGGCACACCTATCTTTCGTGCAAAGGGCCCATCTCAGCCGCAGCAGCTGCCGCCAGGCAGTGTCACTGTCAAGGCAGCGGGTACAGGCGGTGCATCTACCACCACTGGGGGCCCACAGATACTGGGAAACATCAAACTGACGAGCGGCGGCACAGGGACGGGCAGTCCCCTAAACATAAAGCAGGTGCACAGCAGTGCCCTACGCAACATCAAGATCTGCTCGCCCAATGGCAAGGTGTTCCTGCAGCCCGGGAAACTGACCGCGGGCAGCATCATCCACAAGCTGAACAATGTGACGGGAGCGAGCGGGACGACAACGACAGTTGCCACGGCGTCCCTTTCGCCGACTGGGGGGATGGCACATCCGTCCAGCTCTCCGCATCAGAGGTTCAACCTACAGAAGATGCAGATTATGCCGGCGCACACGCAAGTGATGTCCAGTGTTGTGACCAGCAGCAGTTCAAATACAATCACCGTGACCAGCGGGACCGGGACATCATCGAGCAGTGCCAAGCTGACAACAAAGCCCACCACCCTGACATTTTCCACTGGCGCTGGGGGGAAAAACAATCTGGTGTTCCTGCCGGCCAGTGCGGCGAGCGGTATGCGAGCCGTGACGCTGAGCACGAAGCCCAAGCCGAGTGTCCTGGTCATTGGTGCCTCCACCTCGGCCTCAGTAGTCTCGCCAACGGCAGCCTCAGTCTCGCCCAATATTCTCACAGGGAGCAGCAGCAGCAGCGGCAGCTCAGCGAAACCCAAACCGAATCAACTAATTACAGAGGACACGCCCATCGATATTATCAATATGCCCATCATTGTGGCCGATAATGGGACGACGGCGATGGAGCCGAAGGTCAAGTCCGGGCCTTTGGTGGTACTCAATGCCACCGACTGGGAGATGGAGTTGGATCAGGCGGCCACCCAGACGGTGACCACAACAAATTCTTCCAAACAGAGTCTCGATGATGTCATTATCGAGGATGTGGATGTGGAAGACGATGATGTGGTGGCAGTGGAAGTGGAAACGGAACAGGACACCGAGCTCAACAATCGCAGTGAGTTGGGAGTAACGGGGTTCCTCCTAAAGCGAGAAAGACAGTTGCTAATCCTTTGCTTATTTTATTTGTTTCAGTCATTGAACTGCATCCAGAGGATGACAGCGCAATCGAGTATGTGGACATGGATCTAGAGCAGCCCATTGAGATTGAGAGCACCAGCAACATATCTCCAGAGACGGCTACAACAGCGAATTCCCTGATGGCAGCTATCGTTTCACACGGGGGTCATCCAACGCAGCTAAAGACGAAGCAGCAGGCAATGGAGCAGCCACTGGCCACCACACTGTAAAAAAAGCAGCAGCCTGTTAAATCATTGTTAAACGGAGTTGGAGAAGAGAGTGTTGCAAGAACGCACAGCAGCAGCAGGATTCGGTTTGAATTAGGTTTAGATTTTCAGTCTTAGTCTCAATGTCGAGATGTGTCTCTTAGATATCTCTGTCTTTTGGGGCAAAGTGCAAGATTACCTTATACATAATTTTCTTAATTTGAACGAAAAGAAGCAACAATATTTTTAATGGCCAAAATCAGTTTAGAATACCCCATAAACAGCCTCCCAATTCGTTCTAAACATTATCGTATACGTAGTTAAAGGAAGGTTTCTTTTTTCGGTTATAAATATTTTAAACCTCTCTCTCTCTCTACTGTACATAGGGCCCATTGCCATTGACGTCTAACCCTTTTTGCCGGGGATTCCTCTCTGCAGAACCTTACCTTGTATTTTGTATAGATTGTATATAGAGTCTACGATTCATCCATCCCTCCCACCCCAAATCATCATCATCAACAGCCCCAGCCCCCTATAACAACATTATTTTGCCTAGCATAGTTTCATTTTAGTTTAGTTTTCTAAGTTTATGATCGAAATTACACGCAAAATAACACACACAAAAGCAGGAAATAAGAAGAAAGGTAAAAATTGTTTTAATGTTCAAAACTTGGAAGAAATAATTCTTAGTTCGTATGAGATTATAGAGCATAAATCGCGCGACGACCCCCCAACCAGGATATGAACATGTAAATAAACATCATATGATGAATTTCGAAAATCCAAACAAGCCCCTATACCGCATATATAAATATATACATATGTATAGATTCTATCACCCCTAGTTCCATTTTTTTTTTGATAGGATTTCAAGCCCCACACAACAACAAAGTGCTAGATGTTAAGTATTTTACTGGGTCGATTTTTTCATAAAAAAATGTTGTATCTTTTAGACCAAAACGATAATGGAGAAAAACCCCTAAACCCCTAAAGAAAAAAGGAAAAATATAAAGTTTAAGAACAAAAGATAACTCTTCCTCCCTCCAAACACAGAGAAAAAGAGAAGAATAAGTAAAAAATATTATAAAACGAAAACAAAATATATATTGTTGAACAATTGCGTGTCGCTGTAAAATTTTTAGCATAGAAATTTTAAACCGAAATAAATTTAAATGTAACAAAAAACAAAGAAATAGATTTTTTAATGGATATATTTAAATATATATCTATGTGTATGTATAATTTCATTTTAATGCACAATACAATCCTCCCCACTTAACAAAATTTACTTATTGCTGCTGCTGCTGCTCTAGAATCGAGCGATGATTGAAAGATATCAGGTTTTTGGACTTGGTTTGTCACAAAATGCAGATGTATAAAAAACGGGATCCATAGTGTATGCGTCTGCTTCCTAGTTTCGACCCAGGGCCATGCCCCTGCCCCAGGGACTTTCGGGAGGCGGTGGCGCTCTACTCTCCGGTGGGACGCCAAAGCCACCAAAACCACCAGAAGTGTCGGGTACCAGGCGTTTCCTTAAAGAAAGACCAAAGGTAATATAAAACAAAGTTTCTTTAGAGGCTCTCCTATTACTTACAGGAACTGGGGCGTCTCCAGCAGGGCATTGCCGCCCAGCTCCTGGGAATATTGGAACTTGAGGAAAAAGTAAACATGTCCATTGAAAATGCCAATTAACGAGGCCAGAGAGCTGTAAGGATTAGCAAATAAATAGGTTTAAGAATGCTCTTACTGCAGACTTCGATAATGATAACTTACAAGTGGAATATAAACTCAAATGCAGCCAGCACCCATGGCAAATACATGGCTTTAAAGCGACTGCCAAACCAGAAGCTGACTGTCACATCTTTGTTAAGCTGGCACCAGACGTAGGTGATCGCCATCACCATCATGTCCATGAGGAACTGGACGTTAAACAGCATCCCGCCTATGTTGGCCAGCACTGATGTCACGATGAGCAGATACAGGTAATCGGAGGGACTTCGCCCGTACTGATCCTTCTCCAGCCTGCTGCTGTACTGCACAATGAAGTAGCAGTTGATGAGGAAGTGGAAGGCCGTGTTCGGTGTGATGGGGAACACAAACAGCGAGGTCACACATCGCCACAACTGGAGTTTTCCAAACACCATCGAGCGGTCCAGCGACAGACTCCAGATGTCCAGCAGTTCAAAGCGGCATAGTAGACTGAGCAGCACAGTCGTCGTCAGCCAATAGCGGGTGAAGCGGGGCAGCGACCGGTACCATTGGCCAATGTCCATTGTGATTTTATTTTGATTTTACTTAATTAAAGGCTTTTCATATGAAAATATATCTTTTTAATCGAGATTCTTCCAAATTTCCAACAATTTACGTGTCTTTTAGTGGCGGACTTATCGAAAACTTAGCCCTCTTTACCCCCTCTTTTTAAACAGTTCAACGAATTGAAACATATGGCGAATAATATTACTGACTGTAAATTCTTCTTGAAGATCCATACCGTTTTCCGTTTAACTTACAAAGAAACCACTATATCTGTCACCTAAACTGCGCTAAAATGATTAAATTTTCAGAATTTTCGGTAGAATATTGACATGCCCCCTTGGCTTATAATGGGTTAATCGTTCTGGGTCAAGGATTTGAACCCATATTCCTCGATTTTGATATTCCATCGAATATTACTAGCTAGATAATGAATCTATTTTCTACTTGACTGGCTTATTTTAAATACATGACTTTGATTGTTTTTGTCTCAACAACAATATAATATAGTGGGCCATTAGCCCCTCGTTTTAAAAAAGGCCACACTATTTTCTATTAATTTAATCTTTCTTTGATTTAAAAAACATCGCAAACATCGACTTGCAATCCGAATGACTTTCTTTGTGAATGGCAAATATAGCGATGATGAAGAGTGTGGCCAGAGTACCAAACTGTACTGCGATTTCGTATGGAATATTTGGCGCGCTCTCAGAGAATTTTCAAAATTTAAATAATGGAATTAAATTAAAATAAATGGAAATTAAAGGCCATTAATACAAAAACTCAATACAATTAAGAAAGCGTCGGCGATGATAATAACGACGACGATGGAGACAGGTTGATCAGTTAAACCATCAGGCTCGGGGAGAAAACGTTTCCTGAAAGAACAGATTATTGTTAACAAATGCCTCATGAAAGGCAGAAAACTTATAGAATCTGAGGTGTTTTTAGAAATTCCCTCCCGCCCAACTCTGCAGGATATTGGAATTTGTGGAAATAATAGACATGTGCATTAGAATAAGCAATACAATTTTCCCGGGAGCTATATATAGAAATTTATAAATAAATTGTGCCAGAATATGCAATGTGATTAGAAACAAAACAAGTGTAACCAACACATTAATAGTCGATTCCTGTTTCGGAGTTTCCTTATAATCCAGCCACGTTCGCCAGGATGGCCGTGATGATCAGTAAATACAGATATTCGGATGGACTGCGTCTGTAACAATATTTCTCCAGTATGCTGCTTTCATAATGGATAGCGACGATGCTGATGGGGAATAGCCCCACATATTCTTTGCTAATGGGATACACGAACAACGCGGTGACACATCGCCAAAACTATCCTCCATTGAGTACATCCTTGCCGTTGAGCTGCAATCTTTCGATGGGAAAATATCCAAAGTGGCAGAGTACAGAGACCAGAATTAGAGTCGTAATCCAGATGCGTGAGATGCGGTTTGATCTGATGCCGTATCTGTCCATTTAATGGAGATGTTGTACAATTCTCCAGGCCTTCTGGCTATGTCAGAGAAATCGAGCGAATCAACAGAATAGGCAGACCATGTCCATTGAAAATTGAAATTAATGAATCTAGGGAGCTAAACGGCTTAAATATTAAGAGGATTGCCGTGTTCGAGTGGATGAGGGTACAGTCACACCTGAAGTTTGAAAACATTTGTTTCCTGTTGATGTTTGTTTTCGTTTTATAGAGATGTGAGATCTAAAAATGTTGAACTTCCTGGTGAATGTCAAATATCGCAAAAGCTTAGTGTGACCGCCCGCAATAGAAATATTAAGCTCTGCCTGACACGCTTCTTCTTCATAGCTGAATCTTTGCCGCCCTAATTAATTTTGAATTTATTACACTAGAAAATGTGATTATTTTCATTTAGTCGTATGTTACAATGAAAATTGACAGCAGGGACATCTTTACTCAATATCCCCTCTCTCGTTTGATCGCATTTTTGGTTATTTTTATTTTGTATTCCTTCTCAAAAGCAAACCCACAAAGAGATTTGCAACTACAATAGCATATATATGTATGTATTCATTGTGTGTGGTTGCAGGACACTTAATTCATAACGGGCGAAGGAACAAAAATAAAAAGCGAAATTTTCATTTCATTTTTTGGCAACCTTTTTTATAAGGTTATCTTTGAGGCCTTTGTGCAACTTTTTGATAGCAGAGCAGACAGGTAAAGCAAGCGTGTGCCACACACATACGAGAGGAGTATGTACACACCGCCAGAACACATCCACGAACAATTGCAGTGCAGTCGTGCGAAATTAATGAAACACTTGGAAACTGTGCGCTTTTCCAATAATCTGAACTTTCAAGAGTTCCGATGTACTCCACTGAGTGGTGGCCACGGCCATGGCGAATTAATTTGACAGTACGTACAGTACATCAATTTCCACAGAAATTATAACTGTCACAAAAGCGTTTACGTAGATTAGCACAAATTGTTGCTAATTGTTGTTCTTCTCCGAAACGAAAGTAAAAGCCGGTTTATGGTCGGTCTCTAATGTAAAGTTCAACATTTCGAGTGGTATGGTGTGGAAATTCCGATGCATACCGTACAGTCTTTTCCCCCATTGGAACTCTACAAGTGCGAGCGAGTCAGCAGCTGTGCGGGTGGTTTGCCTGTTGCGTTTGAATGCGGTGGAAGCAAGAGAGCGCTAAGAGAGGGAGAGAGTAACAGTTACAAAATGTCGGGGCTAATCAAGTGACTTGCGGGACCGGTTCAGCGTCAGGCCACACCCACCCGATTGGCCAGCCATACGAGAAAATATGGCTGCTAGAGTAGCGCAGACGCATTTTCCCTGCCTGTTTGATACGCCCACTAACGGTACTCGTTTGCTCATCATGAAGTTCCAGGCACACGACACGCACACGCACAGTGGGATTTACATAGATTCAGATGGTGGCGGGCGGGGGTCCTCGTATTTATTTACTTATCCGTTGAGCTTTTTGCCTTGGATCCTGGGCCTGTGCCTCGCCTGGCACTCACCTGGCCGGCCGTCATTTTGTTGTTGCTGCTCGCTCATTTCGTTGCGTTCTATGTAGAGAGAGAGGGAAGAGTCGTCACCACCTCCGTACACCTCGCCACTCCCCATATATCCACCACTGTACACTCCTTCATTGCGTCTTTTATTTAATATTTTATATGCAAACATTTTATTATACCTTTTTCAACTCTTTACTGCCTTGCACAATCCGTTGTCATCGTCATCATCGTCTTTTTTGCTTGCCTAGAATTTGGCTTTTGTCCATTTCAATTGCTGTAATGAATGCCTGCTCTCCTTCTCGCCTCCAGGCCTTTCAGGTAACCCCTTACCTCACCATTACCACACCTCACCTAACTTTACCTCTTCTTTAGCTCCATCTGACTCTCTCTCCCTCTCTCTTTCTCTCTGTCTCTCTCTGTGTATCTCGTTTTGCTCTCTGCCTTATTGTTGCAGACACTTGAGGTGTGGAAAATGCAAAAAGTTGATTTCTTGAGCTCTTTATGGAAAAATCTCTTGCAAAAGTTTTCATTATTAAATGGAATTCTCTGACGAGAAATCTTAAAAGTTGTGAGCTTAACGAAATGGTAGAGGAAGTTTTCGGAGATTTTAATGTAGACACAATGTTTAACGGATTTTTTTTAAACATTGGAATGATTAATTTTCTTGTATTTCGATTATGGTGTTTGGATATAAATTTTCAAAAGAAGTGTTGTATCTGCAATTCAATAGACTTAATGTTTTCCGTAATTGGAGATTTTTTATACGAATAGTTATATACAACTGATATATGTATAAGGAAGGATGTAATTACTAAACCGTCAAACCAAAGTTTAAGATCCTTTATGATCCCCAAGGTTTTTAACCAAAATATCAGAAGATGCTAGATTAATTATCTCAAGCTATTGGAACTTAAATTAGATAACAAATATATTACATATTAATAAGTTTTTTCTTAGGATTTCATAAAGAAAATGAAAAATCTTCTAATGAAGATTTCATTAGAATCGCTTATCTTAAATGGCCTAAGGCAATGAAATCTCATTTAAATCCTTCGTTTTGCGACCAATACAAGTAATAAGTAATATTTTAAGATTTTTAAATAACTAACATCAGAATCTTAAGGAGATAGTTTATATTAAAGCCAAGGCAGTCTATGCTCCATAATTGAACTTTTCTACTCATTCACGTACTTAAACGTACAGCCAACTCTTCAAAAATGAAAAAAAAAAATATTATTTGGGCCGTTCCAGATCGGGTACTCGGTTACGCCCTTTGCCAATTGTGAATTCTCAGCGCGTAGTCCTGCTTTGCTGCCCTTACCGCCTGGGAATTTTTGTGTGCAATTCGTTTTTGACATTTTGCCTTGCATCTAATTACAGTAATTATTTGATTAAAAAATCTCCCAGGGTGCTCAATCGTTTCACCTTTTTTCGACACACATTCTCCCGCTCTCTCTGTTCCGTCCCTATTTTCTCTCTCTATCGCTCTCTCTCTTTCTCTGTCTCTCTTTCCCACAGCATCTCCATTACAAAATAACAAAGACCATCCATCCATCCATCTCATATGTGTGTTTTGGTTGTCATGGAATCCAGAAGGAGGAAAATTTCATTGCGTAGCATATTTCACAGGACCCCGTCGATGCAAAACTACACAAAAATGCGATTCCATAGAGCATTTCTGCTCCGATAATGGCCCAGCGGGTAAGCGAGACGGAGCGAGCGTACATAGAGGGGGGCACCCAAAAAAAAAAAACAGAAAGGAAACCAAAAAAATAGTGGAAAAAGTAGGAAAATACTCGTACTCACCTGTGTAAATGAGAGCCCAAAAAGAGGCAAATCACAGGAGCAGGCAGCGCAGCCAACAGCAGAGCGGGCGACGGCGACGGCGACGCTACGCCAAATTGCAGTACAAATATGTACACTTCTCTCCAGGGGGGGAACGGAAGGGCAGGGCATGGGTGATGACTCCAGGGGGGGTGGAGGAGATGAGGTTATGTAGGGGCAAACGCTTAGTAAAAGGACAGTCAGCATTATGGGTATTCTGGAAAAAGATATACGATTATT